GAGTTTCTGATCATTCCTGGTTTACAGAGAGTAAAACTGCCCACGGAGGGGGGACACCAAGGCTACTTCCTTTGTAAGAACATTGCACACTCCCTTTAAGTTCCTTCTGCTCCCCTCCAGCCTCTCAGCACAGATGTTCTCTGCTTTAAGTTCAGTTGGAGAGAGGGGTAGCATGAGCTCTCATTCTTGGGTCTCCGTGTGTCCTTTCCAGTCTCTACGAGGGCATTCTCACTGGATGCAGAGCCCAATATGATCTGGTTGGTTTAGTCACATTCTGAGGGTCTGGGTGGGTGTGGACTTGCGGGGAGCAGACACTGTTCGACCACTGCATACGTACAGTCTCGTTGGCTTTTCCTTCGGCTGAGTAAGCCTAAGGGAGCCGATGTCTCCACTGCAGTAAGCACACTGATATCTTGGTTTCTAATACCGTTCTCTGATTGGAGAAAGGAGGACCCCTCGGAGAAAAAGCTGATTCTAGAAGGAGAGCATGGGAGCCACTTGAAAGCCCTCCATGGTCCCAAACAGAACACTTGGAGCGATAAAATGAATAAGGTGACGTTAAGTCATAGCCCAAAATGTCTACAAGATGTATAAGTAAACAGTGGAGCCAATTGATTAGTGGGAAAGAAGGGAGAGGTTCCTGTTGCAGAAGTCCACACAGTCTGTGTAGCTCTGCATCACAACGCCCGCTCCATGTGTGGTCTGCACAGCGTGGCTCCTTACCACAACACAGTGAAAGGAATGGGGGAATATCCAGTGGAGAAACCGAGAGACTCTGCATTGCCCAAGTGACCAGGGCCAGCATCCACGTCACAAATGATCTTGATGGTAGGTAGTCTAGATTTTTTTAATGGCATTTTACCTCTGTCACTTTTGTCCCATAATGTAGAACCCCAATTTTTTCATGAGAAAAATGCCACACACCAAAGTAATGAGGCATCCTACAAACTCCTCAACACTGTCAAGGTCGTCAGACTCTAGGACAATCTTAGAAGATGGGCTAGCTGGCGAGAGCCTAGGAGGCATGTCACTAAATGCAGTGTGGAGTCCCAGGTGGACCTTGAAACAAAAAGGGGGAAACTGAGGAAGTGTGAACCATGTGTGTCTGTAAACAAGAACACATCAGGAGCAGTTCATTTAACCATGTTAGACTAAGATGTTAACTATAGGAAAAACTAGCTTGTGGGATACATAGAAACTCTGCAAACTGTCTTTCCAACGTTTCTGTAAATCCAAAACCATCTTTTTTTCAAGACAGGCTTTCTTTGTGTAGCTCTGGCTGTCCTAGAACTAGCTCCATAGACCAGGCTGGCCTTGAACTCACAGAGGTCCACCTGCCTCTGCCTCTCAAGTGCTGGGATTAAAGGCATGTGCCACCAATGCCCAGCCCAAAACCATTTTTTAAGTTAAGTACGTTTAGAATTATATCACAAGAAAACAATGCATTCGATCTCTGTACCTTGCAGGGGAATAAATATAAAATGTGCTGAGTTCAGGTCTTTTCTTTTCCTTTACCCACTTCATTTACTGACCTTACCTAGGAGCTGATACCATGCAATGGCATGGAGAAAGCACTCTACAGATGAGGAAAAAGGTCCTTGAGAAAGACACGTTGAGCATTTTTAAACTTCCTAGGTCCTTCCACCATTTATTATTGGATGATTCTATGTACGGAATATTTCTTTGTGTGGAAATACATCTCTTCTCTAACCGGCGTCCTCACTCACAGCCATTAATTCACCCAGCACTCATATTTGAGAAACTTTGGATACACCTTAACTAAGAACTTTGGGAGACAAGTGACTCCAGGTACATCTGCTGTACACTAAACAGCTGGTGAATTGATAAGACATCCAGATGTCAAAATATCACTACATATCAAGCTGCATCTAAATACTTATCTTGATACCCAGGGGAGCTTGTCTTTGCAGTTGACAGTGTTGGTGCAGATGGAACCGGTTGAAGTACAGAGAATAAGTGACTGTGGCTTACTCAGCCCTCAGTGGAGTATCTACCTCACACTTGACACACATAAGGCTCAGAAAACACCACGGAAGAGGGGGTGGAGAGACGGTAAGGGCCAGAGGTCGGGGAGGACCGCTGTAAAACAGCGTCTTCTGGGCTCGTCATCACCCTCAGTGATGCTCTCATGAACTCCCTGGAACAGCATTTGCCTGTGCGAGCGCTGTGTGAGTCTGGCCCATCAGCATTTCATCCTTGAAGAGCTAAGGAAGGGGTCATAGGGCTCCGGCCTCGAGGGACTGGCAGCAGGGTGTCACTTTCTTCAGTGGGGTAGCCGCTGGCAACTTGCCCTTGCTCCAGTAAATAACTTACCTCTCGCGCCCACACAGTCAACCTTGTTTAAGCAGGTCACGCACAGAGAGACAGAAAGACATGAACACAGGAAAGGAACTTACCGAGAAGGAGGAGCTTCAGCGAGAGAAAGAAGGATAAGGAGACAGGCAACCAAAGGTGAGGAAAGCTAAACTCTATTATCTATGTGTAAGACTATCAGAGGATAAAAATGAGTAATTTTTAAATTGAAAAAAAAAAAAAAAAACCTCTGTAAATATCTCATTGCAATTTTTTAATCTCTCCAGAACTGGTGGTTACTCTGGTGGCTGGCTGCTTCCTGTTTAAAAATATGAGTTGCTTTTTCTAGTGTGGTTGGATAAGAAGAGAGCCTTGTATTTTAACTTTTGATCTGATGTTTAATTTCTTGTGGCTAAAGCAAGGCTTCACTTCCAAGGCTCAGCTCTCCCAGCTGGGTCGACTCATCCTTCTCACTTAGACTCTGAGGACCTTTAAACAAAGCCATCCGGAAGACGTGGAGTGAGAGGCGCACAAACGAAGAGAGCCGGGCACACCAAACTCCAAAATGTTTTCTGGGTTGTCCGAGTGTCCGTCGCTGGCATCACCGGGGTAACGGGGTAAGGAATTCCCTGGAGTCACGTGGGAAGGAGTTGTAAGAACTGCCAGGGCACTCTCGCCGCCCCAGTGTCACAGGCTACTGTCTGCTCACAAATATTGCTGTTTGCCCCCCGGTGCTAGGGATGAAACCCTGGCTGGGCCTTGCGCATGCTAGGTAACAGCCTACTGCTGAGCCATGAAATCTGCTTATTAGATGTGGGTCAGAACGAATGTGAGTACATTTCTCTCTTAAGTCTGCTGCTCTTTAACTTTCTCAGTTAATCTCATTATGCATCCCTGGATACCCAGAGTGCATGTGGATGTGTCTACATGTGCACAGGCATGTCTGTGTGCACATAGATGTGTCTCCATGTACATGGGTGTGTCTACATGCACTAGGGTGTGTCTGTGTGCATGGCAATAAGAGAAGCCCTGCCTGCTTCTCTTTTCTTCTGACTCTTCAGGGTCCTCTTTCTCCTTCATTGCATTTCATTTAGGCTCTCGTGTGCCATGGTGTGCATGTGGGCGTCACAGGAACGCTTGCAGAAGTCGGTTCTCAGGCCATCAGTGTGGAGAGCCAGTGCCTTTATTTACTGGGTCATCACTCCAGCCCCACCTGGACTTTTCATGATCCTCGGGGCTTGACTCCCACCACCACTGTTGTGCATTCTCCGGGGCCATCCCTCACTTCCTACGTGACAGGTCTGCTGGGCTCTTCTCCAGCCACACCCTCCTGCTCTGGTCAGTGAGCTCATCACTGCAGTCATCTCCTCTCCTCTGAAACTCCTGCTTCCGACACCCTCACGGCACTTCAGATTCTTTCCTGCCGCGTGGCTGGTCTTCCTCATTCCTCCCCACGTGACTCCCCCCCTCTCAGTGTTAGTGGTGCATCCACAGCCCTTTTAAATCCACCTTCCCTAACAATACCCAGACTACCTAGTGGACCTTCTAAACATGAGCCCCTTCCGCCCGCCCTGTGCCCTATGTCTCCCTTCCCTAAACAAGTTTCTCGAGACTTAGCTAAAGCACTGTGTAGCCAGGCTTTTATTGTGGGGACGGGCTTTGTGTGGTATTCCAGCAGCGTAGACATGGCCGCACATACTCAGAATGCAAACAAGATGGTCTACAGTGTTTAAATAAAGGCCCAGCAAACTTCCTGTCCAGTCTGAAATTCATCTTCGCCATGGACCTCAGCTTCCTTGTCTGTAAAATGGGAATCATGGCATAACTTATTTCCTATCACACCATGAGGAGGAAGTGATCGAACACATGTAATAAAGACAGGCCAGCATCTAAGTCATACAGAGTCCTCAAAAAGTGTTACCCATCAGCCATCACAGCATATCACCATGCAAACCAGAATTCTGTATTCTTTTCTCTGACTTTGTCACTAGGGCAGGAAACTCTCGAGGGTGGGAACAGGGCCCATTTAACATCCTGTCCCCAACTCTCATCACAGACTACCTTACAGCTGCACAAACTATTGATGGAGTAGAAGACCCTTTAGGCGAGGATAACATGAGGATGAAATGAAAGTGATATTGATCTGGGAGTGCGCCGCAGTTCCCCTGCCCAGGCAGAAGTGTGATGCCCTCACAATAATGACTGCAAACCCACTTTTAAAAAGCGAAAAACTTGTCAAAAGGAAGAACCAACTGCCTAGGGAGCTGCAGGAATGAACAGATGCTGGTAGCAGGGCATCAGGTGAAAACTGACATGCTCAGGATGCAGAGGCGGAGGGAAGACATGGAAGCCGGAGGAATGAGGGAGCTGCGGGGATGATGGAGCTGCGGGGATGATGGAGATGCGGGATGGTGGAGCTGCAGGAAGGAGTGAACCATTCTGAAATGTGAAAGACCTGAGATTTGAAGTGAATAATATTTAACAAAGATGTGTTTGCAGCTATTGTGAGCTTCCACAAGCTGCAATTTTCTCCTTCTTGTTCCCCATTTTTCTTCGAGAAAAGTGTGTCTTCCTGCTTTTAAGATTGCTAGCATAGGTCAGAAGTGGTGGTATATACCTTTAGTCCCAGTGCTTAGGAGGCAGAAGCAGGTGGAGCTCTGGGTTTGAGACCAGCCTAGACTACAGAGCGAGTTCCGGGACAGCCAGGACTACACAGAGAAACACTATCTGAAAAAAAAAAATGTGTGTGTATGTTTGCGTGCATGTGTGTATGTTGTTAGTATAGATATGAAGTATAGATATAATATCATGTAGTTGTTACCTGGAGAAATATCTCTGCCTTTGTCTCTCTCTGTCTCTGTCTCTGTCTCAGTGTGTAACCCAGCATCCCTCACTAGGAAGCAGCTAAGTGGCTGCTTGCTGAGTGGCTGGACAAGACAAAACAGAAAGGAATACAAAATGAAAAACATGGGGGCAGATTAATACCTAATTTGTTGGTGAACTCCAAGAGACCTGGTACATTTCTACATGGATGGTAGTAAGGAAAGGAAACCATGACAAAGGCTGAGAATTCTGATCTTTGCTCATTAGGAGAAACCGGTGGTTTTTACACAAATGATCAAAAGCACTAGTTTCAAGAGCAAAAAGAAGAACGTACTTCATATTTGTCAACTATGGGTACACAGTAAAATTTCCTACTTGGGAAACTCCAGACTAAGGTGACTGGATGATTCTGGTGCCCAGGGCAAGATTGAAGCTAGATCATTTAGGAGAAATAAGTATACATGCAGGAAGAATTGGATATCCCAGGAGTTAAAAGACAAGGAGCTTTCTTGCAGGAACTCATGTCAACTGTGAAATTGGCGAGCATCAGAAGGAAGGGGGGGAGGACACAAAGAGAGAGAGAGAGAAAGCCAGTGGCGATGGGTGACTTAGCATGGCATCGTGCTGGCCCCAGGCACTGGCTTCAGTGAGTGACTGGATCCACGAGGCTCAAACACATTTCCCATCAGGAAGTCATTTCATGTTTTTCTTACACCGCCTCTCCTGAGAGTCTGATTCCAGACCTTAAAATGGTAGAATGCATTGTAGCTTCTTCTTGGTGCCCACATAACTGGGCAGGTACTTGGTATCTTAACCTTCTTCAGCTTCTTCGGCCTTCCTAGTACAGCTGCCTCAATTGAGCACATGACAACTGTGTCAGGAGCCCAACCGTTTCCATCATGACTCCGTTCAGGAAGAGCATCGTCTAGGGCTTCTAACAGGCACAAGGATAAATTACACCCAGATATTCATTTGAAGCTAGAAATTCTGCCTCTTCACAAAGCCGACAGACAAACCTTGTTGGACTAATGATATATTCGGCAGCCACCTAGCTGGCAGTGCAGAATGGCCTCCTGGGTTCAAGGCTCTTATACATTAGAATATAATTTGGCTGCGGCTTCTCTCTCTATTATGGAGAACAAATGCATTTTTGAATGACTGGAAGAAGAGGTCATGCCATTACTTACGATGTGTAAACTGAAGGAGGGTCAGTGAAGGAACATAGTTCAGATCAGGCCCTAGAAAGAGGGTGTACCCCTTCAACTCTATTCCCTTGTCTTGGCTCTGTCTCCCTTCACACGCAGGGCAGGGGACTTAGCTGCCAGCCGGGCTCTATGTTCAATCTCGGGGATTCCTGACAGCAGCCCCAGCTCTTGGTACTTGCTCAGCCCTGGTTATGCCATCCGTGCCACATGGGGACTGCCACCTACATCCGGCTAAGGTTACCCTAAGAAGCTGGTGGTAGGTTGGCGGCTGTGGCAACAACGGTGGTTTCTTTCTCCGAAGACTAGGACCTGGGCCGCGGGGACTCTGACGACAGATGGGCAGTAGTGGCTTACCTTCCGACACACAGAGTACTGAAAAGAGGTCTGTGTGCTCGGACCCCGTGATCTTCTCGGCAGCCTTGTCTGCTTCATATACAAGTTCAAGTCAACAAGAGAACCAATTTAAGCTCTTTGCTAAAGAGCTCAAGTTCCTACTTCTCACAAGCAATTAAGCAGTATATTTAGAGAGAGGACAAATATGCCTTAGGTATTCTTAACCAAACCCTACAAGGGAAATTGCTTAGCAGTGTATTCTGTTTGCAATCCTCCCTTTCCTAATTAAACTGGGTGAAAGGAGGATGGAGAAAATTGCATAATTACATGAAAAATCAATCGCCCTTATTTTGACAGGCATTGAATGCGTTGCAAGAAATCATGACTTTGGGCCAACTTTTTTTTTTACTATGTTCGAATACTTATGTAGTGTTCTGTAGGTCTAGCCAATTTCCAAATCCAGCTCCTAGTAAACCTTTCAAGCATGTACCGGTAGAGGCCTGGAACTGTATGAACCGTATTACAGTCCTTGGAGTGAGTACTGGTTGTACACTCTTCAGCCCACACCAAGTTTCTCTTACTAGAGAAATAGTCACAGTCCATCTACTGTGCAAATACACAAATAAAAAACCATCACCCATTTCATTAGGACTTAGTCCCCACAAGGATACAGCGCCCCTTTCATCTTTGAGATGAGAGATGAATGCTGGAATTGTAGACCGGGCTCCTGTAGAAACGTCTTTCTTGGAGAACCAGTAGAGTCCACCTTGTCTCCAGAAAGCCACTGGGCCTGTTGTGCCTTCAGAAAGTTCTGGACTCCAGGCAAAAATGACACATGTCAGGTCTTAGTCTACCTTCCTTTCCCCCTTAGCAATCTTTCTTCCACAATGTTGGTGCTCATCAGGCAGCACTCAGTCACTGTAGAGGTAAAATCACCAACCATTTCCAAATCCCAGGCACACTGTTCCAGTCCACTCCAGCTGGACTGGCTCTGAATGCTGTCTTCCCGGACACATTGGCTTTTTGAACCATAAACTCCCAGAAGACTCGGGTCTTGGAGTCTTGTATGTTTCTTACATTTTCAGTTAATGCTCACGGGCTGGGGGTGGTTCAACAGCTAAGAGCACTTCCTGCTCTTCCAGACAACCTGAGTTCAGTTCCCAGCACAAACCCCAGAGGGCTTCGGGGAATAAACACCCTTTTCTGGGGCATCTGCATTCACATGCACACAGCCATGCACACGCATGCTCACACACACACACACACACACACACAAACTTTAAAAATCTATAAAATAGTCATAACAGTCAAGACTTCTGCAATTGGTGGAAAGGAGAGAGCAGAACACCGTGGGATTTTATGTGACCTTCTTGCAGCCTTCACCAAGGTTAAATAAGAACAGGATTTAAAAACCAGATCTTATGAATATGCATGAAATACCTCTGGAAACCTCTTTAAAACACAGCAGTGGTCACCTCTGAGGAAAGCATTGGATGTTGTGAACAAGGATGTCGGCATCCGTGGTGGTTTGAATGTAACTGACCATCATAAGCTCATAGGGAGTGTCATTATTAGGAGGTGTGGCTTTGCTGTAGTGGGTGTGGCCTTGTTGGAGGAAGTACATCACTGTGAGGGCGGGCTTTGAGGTCTCCTTTGCTCAAGCTTTACTCATTGTGACACTTAGACCACTTCCTGTTGCCTATGGATCAAGATACAAGACTCTCAGCTCCTTCCCCAGCACCACATCTGCCTGCACATTGCCGTGTCCCACCATGGTGATAATGGACTGAACCTCTGAACTGTAAGCTGCCACCCAATTAAATGTTTTCCTTTATAAGGGTTGCCATGGTCATGGTGTCTCTTTGCAGCAACAGAAACCCAAACTAAGACAGCCTTGAAGATGAAGGAAGGGCAGGTGCTGTTTTCAAAGAGTTCCATGTTGTTTTACATGGAATTCAAAGAAACACCTTTCTCTTTCTGTACGAAAGGAAAGGAGGGAGGGAGGGAGGGAGGGAGGGAGGGAGGGAGGGAGGGAGGGAGGGAGGGAGGGAGGGAGGGAGGGAGGAGAGAAAAGAAAAAACTCGATTCCCAAAATAGCCCTTGGGAAAGTAAGTTCTAGTAGTCTAGAACTGAGACTTTTTTCAATGTCTAGAGTGCAGATTCTTTCAATGCCCCCCCCCCAGTCTCTTCTTTCTCTATTGGACACACCCACAGAAATGACACCTGTCCCACCACGAAGCCATTGATTAAGCAAATGCAATTTGTTCTTCCTTAATATTTGTCACCCAGGCCCTTTGTGTGTGTCCTTTTCTGTACCATTCTCTTCCCTAAGAATTTCCATTTGCTTACCCTGCGTTGCCGCCTCTCTGGTAACACTTACTGCGTACTTACTATGGTCTTCCTCACCCAGTGAGTGCTTCTTCACCGACAAGCAGCCTCCTAAGGGCTCCGAACTGGGTTCATTTCAGAGCAACGACACAGAGGACCTTTGTCATCTATATTCTGCGTGGGGAAGTCAGGTATTACAGACGATGTCAGTTGAGCACTAAAAACACAGTTAATGCAGGTCTGTCTGCCCGCTAGGGCCCCGTGCTCACGCTGTAAAACTGTTCTCACTCTGCCCCTTAACACTTTATTAGCTCGTTCAGTTCTTCTTAACCCTTGCTCTTTATCTTCACCCTCTTCTTATTTACTTCTCCCTTGTTTTTAGGCAGCATTCCTCTGCTTACCCTGCTGTAATGCTATCTTTTTTCCCCCCTTTTGTCCACAATACAAGCAGAAGTGTCCCTTCAGGTCCTCATTTCTTGCCGCACCACACCTTGAGGGCCCAGCTGTGGTAGCCAATGGCCTTAGACTACGTGATTCTAAGGAAATGACTTCCTACTTACTTTCCAATGACGTTACAGTCAGTCCTGTCTCTGTGTGAAAACTGTATTTATCTCAGTGTAGTGAGAAGATTCAGTGTGGCTACACAAGAGTCCAGTTGGAGTGGTTAACTGTGGAACCTACGTTTGTTTGTTTCGGGGAAACGTAACATTCTCACTTGCGATAAATGCAAACAATACCCTCTTATGAACAGATGCTGTTATTTTTAGCTCCACAGTAGCAAACATTCTAAACTGTTAAACATGAAATAACCATCGGTCGTAGATTCATTCTTGTTCTATGGAAGCCATGTAATTCCCAGAAGGTTTAAGCTCGATTATTACTCAGTTATTATTTAAAAACCAACGGGGTTTGGGGAGATGGCTCAGCAGGCCAAGTGCTTACTATGTAAAAATGTGGACCTGAGTTCGGATCTGGGGCACGCTTGTGAAGCCGGGGGTGGAGGTCCACCTGTCTGTATCCTCGGCATTAGGGGTGGGGAGACAAGTGGACCTCGGGAACTCGCTGGCCAGCAGTCTAGCAGAAATGGTGTGTCAACTTCAGTGTCCAAAGGCAAGGGGGAAAGTGGGAGAGAAAATAGCTGAAGTGGCCCCCAGATAGCAAGCATGGGAGTCTCACACACACACACACACACACACACACACACACACACACACACACACCACACCACAAATAACCAATGGGAAAAAAGGGAAAGGAAGAGTATCAAGTTTCCAAAAATAAAACCTTTATGTACACACACACACACACACACACACACACACACACTACCCACCTGCTGGTCAGAAGCCACACAGCATCAGCACAGCGCTAATCGTATGTAGTAATTCATTCACTGCGTGCTATCCATAGCCGGAACCGCATCCCTGCCCACCAGTTTCCCATAGGCAAGCAGAGTTTGTGTACCACCGGCCACTCAGCCTACGTGCTTAACACATTCATTAACCAGGGAGACTGCCCTCCTATGGTTCTCATCATTGAAAAGAACAAGTTAATCTCCCCCTTTGGAGGGCTGCAGCACTGGAAACCACACGATCCTCTTAAATAGTTCCTTGCCCCACATCCTCCCTTGTTGACAGGTCTGCTTTCATAATTTTATTGTCCTGGCTCCAGAGCAAATTTCAGTGAGGTAGAGTTAGTTGATGGAAGGGTGGGAATGGGCAGGACGATGAGGCTGGGAGAAAACCGTGCGGCCAGAGCGGAGGAAATCATCCTGTGATGTATGGCAAGCCTTTTATCAGATACATCTCCTTGCCTTCTGGAGTGCCCATCATATCACGCAAACTGCTCCTGAAGAGCCCTCCATTTACCTTCTCCCCTAATTAAATGTGCACTTCATTAATGTAAATTGGGGGTTTAATGCTCTTGTTGAAATTCTGAAGAAAGTGCTATGGCCTTGCGAAATGCTTAAGCATCATTGCAAATTAGATTAGGGGGCCAAGAAAGGCAGTAAAATTACAATGATAATGGCTGATGTGGCTTCCTGACAGGCATGACTATTCAGGGATCAATGGAACCCGAGCAGTTTCCCGAGCCCAGAGTGAAAGGCAGGGACAAACGTCAGCCTACAGATGTGGCTTTTGGAAGCACTTTCAATTAGTTTAATTTGGTAAATGGTGGGGATTTAGAGGCTCTCAGCCAGTCATACAAGACAAGAATACATTGAAATGTTTTTCAACTTTTTAACATAAAATAGGATTGGCCTCACATTTGCATTTCTCGAACAAGATGGAGTGGGTTTGGGGTGGGGCAGGTGGTACAGGGAAAGTTTCCAAAGTGTTTGACCAACCAACTCGGCTTTTGAAAATGGAAATGACTTGTATAAGCATGGGCTAAAACCCTGCCATGAGTGGGAACGCGGAGAGGGAAGCCCCAGGCTCAGGTTCTCAGCCGGAACTCCAGAGCGCAGCAAGACCCAGTGCGGTCGGTCGCAAGGGACAGGGCGTGAAGCCCACTCAAAGATACCCACACTTTCCTCAGGATAAAATGATTGGCCTTTTAAAAATAAGCATTGTTGCTCAACTGCGACACCTTCCCTGCTGTCTACTTTTAGTTAAAATAAAACCACATTTGGAAAGCATAGAAAGGAATATCCCTAACCGTATCTCCCAAATTCTGGCCCCTGCGCGTGGGCTGAGGGACGCGCTCCAGCAGTTGTTTGGAGGACTGCTCTGGCCTGTGGCTTCCGAGAGCCGCGCTCTTTCGGGGAACTGCTAAGTGTGTCCTCCCCTTTCTGTTCCTTCCTGCTAACCCCACCCCACCCTGAGACCACTGGTGTCTTCATTGGAAAATAAATTGGCGCTGATCTGGTGACGGGACGTTTGCAAGCAGGAAGGCTCCTGGGCACAAAGACCTCCTTCAGCTATGCACATTTTGACCACAGCTCCCTCCTTGTGTTCCCAGAACACTGTCAAGCTTCACTTGGACCTCCTCCCTGAAGGCGTCTGCATGTTTCATGAGTGAAGAGAAAGGAGATGATGCGTCAGAAACTGCAGTAAATATTACCAAGTCCCCCGGGGCTCCCAAAGCCCGGGTCCAACCTTGTGAACCCGCGGCGGTTGCGGATTCACCCAGCCCTGCCTCTCAGGCTCCCCTATCTCTGGGTTCAATTTGCTCTGAAGAGCAGCAGCAGCGGGCATGGAAAGGAACGGACAGAAACTCGGAAGGCATGGAAGCGGTGTCCGTCTGGTGTCCTGAAAGCGAACCTGGGCAAAGGTGCCCCAGGAGACTGTGCCCTGTGAAGACCTCCGCCCGGAACTGTGAGATTGGTAGGGATCCTCATGCAAATTCACACACTGCATTAGGCCCTGCTTCATAAAGCTACTCGCCGCCCACAAAAATCTAGACGCGATTAAGGAAGAGAATTCCTACCAAATGGTTTCCATTTAGTTTGTAAAAAAACTGTAATAGTAAAACCTAATATCTGTCTAGTACTTTGTTACTTTTTCCCCCAAGACCCCATTTTCAATTATTTACTTAATGGATAGCAAATTTGGAAGGCAGTAGAAAAGACATAATAATTCTTCCTGTTTTATAAATAATAAAAATAAGGATCCTGGAGGACATCCCAGTTACTTTCCAGAAAACACAGAGGCAGTAAGTTACAGAAGATGGGTTGAGACAAAAGCCCCCTTCTTCCAAAGAGTTCAATATAGGAGAAAAAATGATGGGTGGTTGTTGTGGGAAAGATTCTATATAATACAAAATGTACGGAGCAAAAAAATCAAGTGCACTGCAAGAATCACTGTGAATCTTTTGCAAACAACCTCTCATGTGTCCTTCTTTGCATGTAGATAGATAATATGAAGATGATGGAAAAGAGGAAGGTGAGGAGGAGGAGGAGGAGGAAGGGAGAGGATTTCTAACCATATTCCGGGATCTGGGGATACTGTTTACATTCTCTCCTCAGAACAGCCCTGCCAGGTAGACGGATCTTACGAATGAGGAAGATGAGACTTGGGGAGATGAAGCAACATAGCTAAATTCACGGAGTATGAGCATCATTTACAAAAGCCTGACCAAAGTGATCGTGTGATGATGAGGTGTTTAACCGGGCAAAGCACGTGAACAACACTACTTGTCATGTTTCAAGGCTATGGGTCCAGTTATGGCTACACGATATAATTCAGTGAGCAAATCCCCTACTGAGGGACAATCGGTGCTTTTGTTTCTTCCACCACAGGCAATGATATGGTAGAAACAGTGAGCAAACTTTCAGAATTATCTTCTTAGGGTTAACTCAAGGCACAGGATACATTGTAAAGCAACACTCAGCTCTTCTGTTTGCTTACCTTCAGGCAGAAGCCCGAGGAATGGATGCCATAGGAAAGCAATAGCTGATAGGCTGGAGGCTAGTAAAATATGGACCCATTGGGACTCCGCCCCAAGCCTCCCTAGGTGCCCACAGAATTGCCT